GTCCAGGGCCAAAAGCCGGATTGAGGCGTTCCGTTCTGCGCAGGCCTGTTCGATTTTTCGTAGAGCCACGAAAATTGCATCTTCAGTACCGTGTCCTCTTCGAAAACCAAATTGGGACTTCCAGAGCCTAGCTTCGACGCCAGCATTCAAAAGCCGTTGTTTCAAAAGCGAAGCGAACAATTTGTACGCGATGCTCTGAAGACATATAGGTCTATGGTTGTTGGGGTCGGCAGGATCCCCTTTTTTAAACAGCATTGCTACGGAAGCCATGGCCCAATCGCCAGGTATCACCCCATTTTGCAAGCAATAATTGCACAAATCAAGAAGCCACTGCAGAGCTGAATCCGGTTCCATTGCCAAGGCCTTGAACACCTCGATGGGAATATCATGAGGTTTGGTAGCTTTGCCATTCGCCATTTGTTTAATGACTTTTCGCAGCTCAGCGTAGCTGAAATCGCACCAGTTCACATCCAAAGGTTCTCCCAAAGGTGCCTCGGTACCTGGAATTAATGTCGCTGGCCGGACCCTCCATTGTTGAGAAAGTTCAAGTCTTCCCATGAAATGCAAGGCCCCCTTCTTGGGGGTTTCCCAAAATCAGGGGTACCATTTGAGGGGTCCCATTAATAAGGACTATAGTATTTGGGGGTCTCTATTGGGGTCCCCTTATTTTGGGAAACTACCTATTTGCTCCAGAGGAGATGACCTTCTGAGAGCGCAGATCTTTGTCAAGACTGCTATGCACTGGATTGCGCCTCTCTGAAACCTGTAAACATTCCTGATACACGGGATCACGTGAGGATGAGGCTAACCAACAATAGCATGAAACTAGCCCAGGATGATGCACGGGACAAAGTCCAACCTTGCCAGCGGCAAAGAGCTCGTAGTAGGAATCTGCAGTCTCCTAGGGGCGCTACTCTTCCCTTCGAGGCTCTTTAAAAAAACCGAAAGGAGCTGCCACAGGCATCGGCTTGACGGCTTTGAGATTAATACTCTTGATACATCCACCGCAAGAGCGAGGTTCAACAGTGCAAACTGTAGCAGTTCAGCAAGAATCTACCAAGTCCCGTGATGCATCTTTAGGGTTTAGGGTTTAGGGACTGTTGCTCTAGTAGATGACTTGAAGGGAACATGCTTCAGCGTTGGTTCGTACTGGCTGGGGGGCACCTGCCACAGATTATTGGCACTCTAAGGAAGGGCCACACATGCTTCGCAATGGAGGGTGCAAATGGCCAGTGCTACGTCGACCGTCGAAACTAGATGTGGCATCAGATGTCCAGGTTTCTCAACCCCGAAGGATAAAAAGGGATCATAGGGGTCCATATTCGGTATAATCTCATGCAAGCTTTATTGTGAACACACTCCCATGTCATTCCATTTTCCGAAGGTTCAGCAACTCAACCCGAACATGCTGTGACACCTGCAGGGGCTTCTGGCTCATGTTGAACCCCAAATCACTAGGAAACGGTTTGGGGGTAATGGAAAATCCAACGGAAAACACAAAGATGACATGGAAAGTATGTTTCCACCTTTTGTTGACAGGATAGCATGTAAGGCACACGTAGTGCAGGTTGGCCATGCTGTAGGTATGCAAGGACTACGCAAGAGCCTTCGGCGCCGTCTGAGGATTGAAGTCAGGATCAGCTTCCTACAACCCAATGATGCTGCGACTATCCCTCTAGACTCAGGTAGGCATGTTCCAGAACACTAGCCTTATCTATAAGAATAGTGACAGAGGATGATAGCCCATTCTGCAGCTATCCAACTATGTCTTGGGGTTTTCCCTACCTAGCTCGGCACAGTGAGACAACAGTAATTTCATGCACGTGATGCTGCTGCTCGGGTTTTTGCAACAGAGGTACGTACGCCGTATTCCTCAACAAAGGCAAGTATGGCCGCCACTACCAGAAGAAGAGCATGATGATGGTGATGCAAAAGTTGGGAACAAGAGAATATAATCCCTATGTATAATCTATTCCCTTATTCCCATGATTCCCTACTAACTCCTTGTAAGGTTTTAAAACACACTAAAGCCTTGCCGGGATGCCCCGAAGAAGTCCAACGCGTCAACCTCGTGACAGCATCTTTAAAACTGCTTTCCTTTTGACCTATAGTCTAGACTCCTTGTATCCCCCTTAATACCCCTATAATACTTCTACTATATAGAATCCCCTATGTGACCCCTTTTAAGGAGCTTAGACTACAGCTCATATGAGAAGGACGCATTTGAGGGTCTCTCAAGATGATTGGTACCTGTCCAGGTCTCTATATTAAGGAGCATCTTGTGGGGCAAAAATCAGTGAATCATGGGACACCCATCTTGAAACAAACCTCCTTTCTACACTGACATCAAGCTTCCGAAGAAAACATGGTGTAAAGAATCTTTAGGTCTAGGTTGTGGGGTTAGGGGTTTGGCATTTTGGGGGTAGCAACCGTTGGTCCTACTCCCCACGTCCTTTCCGTTGTGTCATCAGAGCTGCTGCAATCCATTTTCCACATCGCATACCCAACAAAATGGTGTTTCATCAGAGGTGAGGCCTTCTGCAAAACTCTCCGAACCCTTGAATGTTGAACTTTGGGGAATCACCATACAGCCCAAATGCACTGCTATGTGATGCCTCTTTAAATCCGACCTTGGTCCCGAGGTAACTTACTGGTGGTCAGTAGGGAATAAAGGAAAATTAGCCCCTGTCTAACCCATATTCATTCCCTACTCCCTACTGCCCCGAACTCTTAAACCTCAATAATGTATCCCCTTATTCCCTGCTAACCCCCAGTAAGCCATGCGTTCTGGCGTGCCGGGATCAATGCGTAGAACTTTTTCGGCCGCAGATGAATGCGTTCGCGTCGCACCAAGAACTGCACCTGAGGAGCATAGGGTTCGGGGATGTTACTCCCTATAGTGGAGCATCAAATGCAGAATAAAATGGAAAATGAAATGGAAGCCGGCTTTACGGAGGGATTTATAAGGGTGTACTTCTTGTCTTTATGCATGGGCCAACATGGCCAGAAAATGCCTGGAATGCTTTTTGGGTAGCTTGTCTTATTCTTGCAACGCGACCCCACGCACTGAGATCCAGGCGCAGCAGTACCCGTTCAAGTGTCCCTCCCATGCACAAGTGTCACAGGTGCGAGTAGCGGCAGAGGGAGTGGGATGCAGAATAGCCTTGCTGGAAGGAAGAAACAGAATGCCGCCAATGATGGATGTGTCCAACGTAGTGCCAGCATATCCATTGTAACCGGTGGGGGTTATGAAGCAGTCGTGTTCGTCACAGCCCCAAGCCTCGATTCGAGCGGGCGTGATGGACGAGTGGAAGACTCTCCTGATGAGCATCAGGAAGACCCGACAACTATGCGTGGGAAAATTCGAGCGTCTGAGGAAGTGTTCTTTCGGGGTTCCCTTAGTCGAGAACCTTTTCGCCTTGCACCTGTGAAGGACCGTTATTGTGATACATACAGATATACCCTATACCCCATATACCATATATATATACCCTGTATACCCATATATACCCAAGATATACCCTATGTATAACCCTCATATACCCTATGTACCCTTGTATACACCCATTGTGGCCCCTACATACACCCATTATGGTAAAGTGGAGACTTGTTCCTTAGCCTGACAAATATGGGAGTTTTCCGAAAATTGAGGCCCCCAATGAAGACCCAATATTCTATAATATAATATACTAAAATATATAATACTTTAATATACTGTAATTTCCCATAATATACGATAATCTACTAGATTCCCCATTATATACTATAGCATGCTATAATTTCCCGTAAATTATTATAGGGGTTATATAGGGCTTTTCTAAAGGATCATGGAAAATCTAATGGAAACTACCCAAAAAAAGAAGCCCACTGTTCTCGGAGACATCCAAGTCTTCCTATCGCGAAGAGCAACCTAGATTGTCCCATCATCAAGGCCTCCACAGCCGCGCAACTTCAGGAGCATCTGGGTCCAAGCATCCACTGGTGTCACCTGCCGATGTGGAGGTTTTTCAAAAATCCGGTAAACCCTAAACCCTAAAACCTAAACCCTAAACCCCTAAGGATCCCAGGGGCAGACAAGGCTCATAGGAGCCAGAGGATGTTCTCAAAAGCTACCATATCAACAACCACTTGCTAACACCTTGCACCACAATCCCTAAACATATGAACACTGCTGGCCCTGGCGGGGCCCAGCAAATTAGATACCTACCTAGTACTTGGTGCGATTGGGATTCATCCCCTGCTTCCTTACTGAGCAGCACAGACTTAGACCCTGACAGCATAAGAACGCAACGCGTCAAATTCTGGTGCTTTTTGTGTGTCTCGTATAGTCTGGCCCCTACTACTGGGTACCAAGAAACGGACCGGACTTTGAAAACCCACCCCGGCATTAAAGGCCAAGATCTTGCTCCAACCTCGCCTGGGCAGTCATGGCGCACATAGTTGTGGGCCAAATGTACGAAGCCAGCATCTTGTGGTAGGAAGCCCCTGGGCACATCGGCAAGTGAGGGAGGCAGGGCAGCCCCAAGTCTACATGCATGTGGGGCACGGGACTACTATTGCTATCAGAAATGATGATTTAGGATACTAGAGGCTGGGGACAACTATTGGGAGACCCTGAACCCTCGATTCTAGACCCTAAACCCTAAGGCCTAGAGCCCAAACCCACAAGCCTAAGCCCTAAACCCTGAAGCCTAAACCCTGAACCCTTCAGGCCCTAAAGCCTAAACCCCAGACCCTATCTGATTCCAAATCCTAAACCTTAAACCCACAGGGCTAGGCCCCCTGAGCCAGGAGCCGGGAGGCCGCAAAGACGGAATCCATCAACAAGTCCACGCTTGGGATGTGCTGGCAGCAAAGGAGGGGGGGTTGAGGGGTTTCGGGCTCAGTTTAGCGGTTTAGGGTTCAGGGTTTCGGGCTTGACGTCTTCTCTAAGGGTTGGATATATGATTATGAACTCTTTGTATATAGATGAGGGTTTCATGTATGCAGGCTGAAATACACATGGGGATTCAAAGAGCTACCCGTGGGTCCTGTCAAGAAAGGTTTACTGTTAGGACCCGGCTGATGCAGTCTCAAAACTTTGGGGATGGTAAGCAGTGCATGGCTTCCTCCATAGTAGGCTGATACATGGTCATTGGTCGGTCGCTGGGCCGCTAGACGCATACAACCTTTTGACTGACCTCCAAAGCCCGGCGTGCATCTCAGACTCGGAGAATATGGACACCTCCAAGTCTTTCAAGCCCAAGCCCACAAACCTAAATGAACATCCACTCCCTTCCCCTTCCGTAAGCTGCCAATGACTGAAGGAACAGAAAATGACTAGGTGCCTCCGGTGCATCCGCATGAAGGAAGACTGCAAACTCTGGCAGACTGTCGTAGCGGTCCTGTTTGTTTTGAGTGCAGTTTGTCAGGGAGATCTAGTCCGTGAAGAGCGCCTGAACTACTACCTTCAAGGATGGCAAGATCGTTGCACTGCATCAACGATTCAGCTCGCACTGCAAACTCGCTGTCAAAATCATGAAGTGTCGCGAAAACAGCACGTAAGCTGCTGACCACCACATAGGCCAGATACGCTGAGCAGTCATCCGCTCGCACTTGATCATCAACGTATCGAACCTTGCAATGTTTTGCTTGACATTTACAAGAGGGCCGGGACGTCTGCCCAAGCAGGTTCCGCGGAAACAACTCCCATGTGTAGCAAAGTGCCGGAGATTCGGTCCGCAAGGGTCGCACTGCCAAACTTTGGCATTGAGTCAGTCCAGTCTGTTTACAGCATACCATGGCCGATCAAACTTCAAAAATGTTCTCGGCTTTATCAAAACTCTTCAAACCACGCAGGCGCTTTCAGGCATTGCCTCCACTGTGTGGAAGTAGCTGGACCATTCGTCAAGTAGTCGATGGGTCTCTTCCTGCTCTGCATTGCTCAAGCTGAGTGTTGAGGGTCACTTGACGGCTGAAGGACAGGAAGCCGAAGGTCGCATCAACAAGTCATTGCCAGTATGATTATAGTGACGGTTGTTGCTGAGGTCGTCTTGGTGGTACATAGTGGCAGGAGACAGTTAAAGGAATTAGGAGTACAGTAGAGACAGAAGTGCGCACTCAAGCGATGAGTGCTACAACCATCACCCCACCACCACCACCACCACCACCACCACCACCCCACCACCACCGCTCCCGTATATCTTGCTGCAACTACCATGTTCCGCAAGTCCGGAACAGCTCTGTTCTAAAGGCAAGGTTACATGGCTTCGCAGAGCCATGAACTCGGCTGCTTAGGCAGAATGGCTCCTCACGCTCCTGATCGCTGCCACCGCACTTGTGGTAGAACCTGTCCCACAGCAAGCAAATCTTGGAAAGAGTTCATGGCGCATGTAACAGGGACTGGTCTGGAGCCAGGCCTTGAAGGCAGCCTTGACCCCGAACAACAACAAACAAGACTTCAACTCTAACCCCCCAACAGTTGCCACACCTGAGCCACCTGCGGCCGAAGTCTAAGAATACCATTCCATATTGGAAGGAATCTGGCACATTCTGGCACCATGTAAGTTCACGTAGCCAAGGACCCCATTTCTTAGGATCAGAATTGCTTCCCTGAACTACGGGGGGCCTCAATGCAACTCCGGCCACAGTAGCCGCCGAACGGTTCTGCAGTCAGGCGGGCAGCTTTTGAGATCTTCGAATGAAGGATTCTTAAAGTTATGGATCCTGTCTTGGGTGGTCTTGAAGTAAGTTTACTAGTTTCCATTTTCTTTTCCATTACCCCAATATTACCGCAATGTATACCCTATATAGCCCTAAAGACTTGTTCTACAGCTCCAGACTCGCGGTTTGAGATGCTAGAATCAGATAGGGTTTAGGGTTTAGGGTTTAGGGGTTTCCAAGCTTATGAATTTGGGTTCTCCCTCCAGCGTCCGTTGACAGTAGGAGAATCAGAATGCGTGGTTGCTGTACCACAATCGATTGACAAGAGGATGAGTACGTTTATCACGCATTTTTCTTCAGAGCCGTGCATCTGTCAAAATAGCGAGCATTTCCTTCAAGATGACGCAGGAATTCAGAAGCTGCTCGAACTAATTGAGAAACACGCGGAAAAGCAAAGGGAAGATGAAATGCAAACTGGTTTCCTCGAGGGCTTCGTATATCGGTTAGATGCATGAGGTAGGAATTTTGGTGAGTGCATATAATCTTCATTGATGTTCCTTGGCAATAATGATGATTATGCACATGGGTCTGCATTTGTTGAGACCACGGCATTAGCCGCATACTACTTCTCTCTCAAGAATATGGCTTCCTGTTGAGGAACTCAAAATGAGTTACCATAATATGGGTATGAATTAAAGAATAGGGTTCCCCAATTATGGTTATTCAGCTTAAGTTCCTTAACAGCAACCCCGGAATAAGATTCACGTAGGTGCTTAATCCCCTCCTCTACTATTAAACCCCCACCCACCCCCCTACATTAAAAACTCCCCATCGCGGTATATCATACTATATTGTGCTGGTATTTAATATTCAGAAGGGCTTAGGGTTTAATATTAAGGAAAGGGATTAGAGCTTGCACCAGCCTCATTTCGCCATGGAAGTTTGTGGAAGCCGCGGAGCCAGTCGATCCGCTCATCCCTGGTCAGAAGGCCCACCAGCTTGCAAAAAGACGCTCTAAAGGGGGGAGTTCCCAAAATTAGGGTCCCATTTTGGTACCCCTAAATATTAGGTGCCGTGATATAGCTCAAAGGGGCCCCTCATTTTGAGAATAGCCGAAAGAATCACCATCAGCAATAGCTTAGGAGAACCACCCCCCCCACCCTGTAACAGTGACTATAAGAGATAACAAGGATTATTTCCTGAAATTAGTAATAGTGACTATCAAGGATAATAGGGATTCTATGATATGAGGGTCCTCTTCAAATTCTTGTTTTCTCACTATTACAGCGTGGGGGTCCTCCTAAGCAATATCTGTGGTGTCCATCTCACTGCATTCTCAAGATTTGCCCATCATGCCAGATTCAGGCTGACCAGCCAAAATCAAACCTGGACATAGCGCTATGTCTCAACCAACACTACCCTAGCAGCTGAATGCCTGTCGACTCGCCATACACACGCCAAAACCCCCTCCCATGCAAATTCATGAGTTTGGCGATGGGTGGAGTCGTGCCACGGCAAGGTCTGCAAGGTTCTGAAGAAATATCTCAATGAGGACCTAGGATTCAGAGTTTTAGCAGGGTTTTAAGTTGTCATTGAAAGGAGACATTTGCTAGCAGCCAATGCCTCATGGGGTGCCACTTCAGCTGTAACAAGCAAGTGTAACGGTTGCGCATTGAACGAACACTTGATGTTCGTTGGTCCGAGGGTTCCCCATCCATATCCGCCAATCCTGAACTTGAGACTGCAGAGCTACAAATTTCTGAAGCAGGACATGGCGAGAAAGGATTGGGGCATGAAATAGCAAATATCACAACCACAGCCGTGGTGGCCCTGAAGACGCAAACCTGACTTCCGGAAACAATCACACTACCAGCAACAAAAGAAATGGCCCATTAAAGCTACCGACTACCAATGCAGACCATGGCCTGCCGCAATAGCACAGAACAATGTCCACCACAGGCGCCCTCCAACGCTTGAAACGTTTGGGCTGAGGTACGACTGCGTTGAGGTCAAGGAACTTAAATTAAATTACCACAATATGGATAGGTAGCAAAGGTAGCAAATGACAAGGTTGCCTAATGTCATTACCCTCAACCCTAAAACCTCTTTCTGCATTCAAGTTCCTAAACGGCAACTCAGATTGGGGGTTTTCGGCAGAGTGGTGCCTTTAAAGAGGGACGGGATACTGCCTGCCTCACGTTGAAGGTAGTCCCAACCCAGTCCACCTCCAACCCCGTATGATGCAGAAATGACCAGAGAATTTGAGGCAGGAGATGTACGACTTGAAGTTGTGGCTCTGGGAAGAAGTGAAATCCGCCAGTGTGACTACATTTCATCCTGCAAAACGACACTGTGAGGCTGCCTATTTTCACAAGACCTCAAGATCTTGGAGGCTGTGACAAATGGCCTGTGTACAGAGTTCATTGCCTTCACCACCGCCCCACTGTCCTGCCCAAAGCCTTTAAAGCCTCTGACTGACTCAGGTGGGGTGCCTGGTTTCTGGCCCCGTCACTCGACTGGCCCTCAGAGCGTTCACACGCCTCAGGCCTTCTACCAGAGGCCACCTGGGCCACTTGTGGGTTTCGGGATTAGGCTTCCAGCAGTGGAGTATTAGGGCGTGGCATTCTGCAGGAAGAAACCCGAGGCACTCTGGTAGTAGCGCACTATCGGCAATGCAAGATTGAGTCTATGAACATGCTGTGATCGTTTCTATGTATGTTTGCTCGGTCCGGTCCTCCATCCTGCCGACAATGAGGAATCCACAGCGCACACTGAGATTTGTGCGGCAATTGCTCGCACCAGCGTTGGTTTTCTGCGTGAGCTCTGAAGAGCTATATAGGGTTATTAAGGGAGATACTCGGGGTTTAGAGTATAGTTTATATGATGATGTATAGGGAAATGTTAGGGGTATATAGGGGAATATATGGGTATGGCGAAATGGTTGGGGTCAACAAAATTGACCTGCAGAAAGGGCACGTATGGAAAAACCACAACATATAACCCTGTAATATAATAATTTCCATGTCATTTTCCAGATCCCTATATTACCCCTATATAATCCCCGTAATCCCTATACAGCCCATAGCAGCACCCCCTGCCCACTCCCCGCATGCTACTTTCCGCTTCTGCTTTAGGAATTTTCCTCATGCGCACCTACAACAAATTCTTGCTACCGCTGTCTGAGTGGGCCACCCGTTGATGTGATGGCTTTGCCTCGGCTGGGAATCGCATAAAACTGCCTCCCAATAAACAACCACCTGACCACCCCCCCAAAAAAAAAATGTTCCCCGTGAAGTGCACCTAATGTTAAGGAGAGATTTCCTATCGGGGGCTGGGGGTGGTCAGTACCTGGCGAAGGGGATCAATAACAATGAATGCATTAGGGCTTAGGGTTCAGGGCTTTCAAGTTTACGGCGCCGGCATGATGAGCCTGCTAACAACCATGGTAAACGATGGCCATCGTGGTAATGCGATGAGAACATGACGTGTAGAGTAGCAGCAACTATGCAAGTAAACCCTATCATCGCAACCTGATCATTTTCTGAGAGGCGAATGCTACTACGTCGACAGTTGTATTAACGGCACAAACGGCTCGGCCTTCTTGGAGTTTGAAAATACAATCCTCGGAGTCACATGATGATTGAATTATGATACTTTACAAGCCGGACTACAGCAGTTGTAATTGTTGTACCAACCCATTGTTGGACGACCTTGCCAACCTTAAGCGTCAGTCTGTCTTACCAACCCCTTCATGCACGTACATCTGTAAATTTATGCCAGAATGTGCTCAGGATGCAGGACTTCACCTACTCAGCCAAGGGGACATCTGCCTGCACATCTTCAGACCTTCTACTTAGCTACTTTCCAGAGTGATGTCCTTCATAGAAAAATCTAGTGCATAGATGAACATGAATGTAATGGGAAGCCGAATTGGAATTCAGGATCTGGGAGGGCACTAGTTTTTGGATGGATCCTCATTGCAACCCCCCGGACTTGCTATGGAACACAAAAGGAAACCTGGCACACCCATTTTGGAACGTGAGCCGCAGCATGCGCTGCTTGTGAGTTGACATAACCTCAGTATGCACTTTGCTTCATGGTTTCGGGTGCCTCTTCGGTTGGCGCCACGGGTATGGGTATGTGCAAGAAGGTTGGAAGTTTCATATGAGCGTTTGAAGGACGGTGACTGTCGCGCTCTTGCACGCAGCGAATTGCAGTATGCTCCAGGTTGGGGTGGTCGCAACATACCAAGAAATGTGGCCTAAATACAAGTATCAGGATCTCAAGGTGTTTCATGCCAAAGTTAAGGGCAAATGCAGGTCCACCCCAAGTACCATCAGAACTGATTGAGAGTTTGACATGCTCCCATCATTGCAAGCATTGGTTCTTGGATTGCACAATCTCAATTCTACCACCCCATCCTTCCAGCAATGGAACTTTGTGTTGCTTCCAAGGTTGCCTTAGGAGATCACTTCCCCTCTGTTCCATCTAAACGTCTGATTCTAAACATATAACCCGAGTACCCTAAAACCCGTTGCGCCAACAAAGTGCCGAGTCGCTTCTAGATGGCTCCCTTCACCACGCACTAAGGATAACAAACCTCTAAACCTACCACCGCAGATCCCAAACCCTGAACCCAACGCGCTGGACCACGCAAATTCTCCACCCCAAGGCACCTGAACCGAAATCTCCATCATCGCGCCGCTCGTCGTCAAAGAGTCAGCGCGGACTGATAGGAGGCCGCCAACGAGTCCCCCTGCAAAGGACTATAATCCCTTTAAAGGGACCCTAGTACACTACAGTAGCTGCCATGTTCTTGTCCATTATCCCTATATAACCCCAATATATACCCTAGTATACTATAGTAGCTTCCATTTTCTTTTCCATTATGCCTATACAACCCTATGTAAGCCTACAAGGTTTAGGACTGGGGTAAGGTGTCGAGGACCCCTGTCTCAATCTCCCACATGCGCAGTCATTTCAAGTCGGCGTCTTCTCCACTAACTCCTTATGACTACCATGACTACCAGAATTCCTGTTCCTGAGGCTATGAAACACAATGCTGGGTTGATACTGATTGCTTAAATGTACATGTCACGTCATGCAGGGCAGCTTCGTTCCAGCCTTCGTCCAAAACAAGTTTCTCCTACTTTGCTACGCAAGTCCAAGCCCTCACGCAGAATCACAAGCCCCAAAAAGGCATTATCCACCTTGCGGCGGTCCATGATCTCCATGATTCTCGCAGCAGTCTCCGCAACCCCTGCATTGCTGGTGTCCTTGGCATTCCAATGCCAATGCGCCCAGAGCCCGACCCACCTTCATGACAAGTTCACCCAATCCAGTGTCATTACATATTTAGAATACTACCATACAGTGGGTGGGAATATGTGTTATTCCAGAATATCATTACCCCCAATATAATGCCATTGTACGATCGGGGGAACATTTGTTCTTCCAGAAGGCCCAAGGCTGCCAGTAACATCAGACTCCATGAAACTTCGGGATTTCGAGTTTAGGGCTTAGGGCTGTGGTACTGTACATCACTCAGCATGCTTGATCCTTTTCTGGGCCCTCCTTCCGAGATTGGGCGCTACAGGAGTTTTAACGAGCAGAATTCACACAGCTTTACAAGGAAAGAAAGCTAACCAAATCATGTCAGGAGAGGTTACTGAAACTTAGCCATATCAGCCCCAGATGCGATGATGGGCCATTTCGGACCTCGCCGCCTGAGCTTGCTCCAGAATCGACTTCTCATGACAAATAGCAACACTAGTGCGACAATGCGTTTACTTACAGCCTGTCAGCACCTTGTTGCCACAAAATTCCAAGATGGTGGAACAGGCACCCCCCGAGGAAACTGCACATCATTTTCTCAGTCAGTCCAAGGTGCAAGTAGAAGTTCTTGATCCAACTGACTTCCTTCTTGATGTTGTTCCTTGGGCGATTCGAAAGGACTCAGTTTCTCAGATTCGAGTGAGAAGCAGGTCTAAGTACATAGGACTGTCCGAAACTCAGGATCATTCTTTGAAATTCGAATCCAGGGTTGGGTCACGTGCGTCACAATCTTGTCGCATCCCCGGCTGCGCAACGGAGCTTTAGCACAAACAGTGTCTATTAGAAGGGTATGGTCTTCCTGGGTTACCAAGTACACCGCTAACACCCTCAGAACTGCTAGTCAATTGGCGTTGCAGATTTGAAGATAAAACAATCGCTGGTGTCAGACCGCTTCCGTGACCAACGACCTCTTATTCAAGACACCCTCCCCTAAACTAACATGGAAACCCATTTAGGAATATAGGCCCCTTGATGTGGACAGTATGTTGTACTTCTTCCCCCTCCCTCCAGATTGCATGCATGTCCCGGGAGGCGAAGACAGATGTGTAACTGATCTGCTCGCAAGTCTCTTGCTCAAGGGTGGGGCTCCACCAAGAATACCACAGCTTGAGATGTCTCCATCAAACTCCTGATCTCCAAACAGGCCATAGATCTTGACCATCCAATCTGCCTAGACCAACAGTCCCCCATAGTTAGACTGGCAAAGGGTCAGATTTGCGTAGTCGGTGTTCCTGCGGTTGAATTGTGCCATCCGCTGCGTGCCTCGGCACTAGGATTCAGTTTGGACACCTACAGGAGTTTCTCAAAGTGGGGTGCCCTCGAGATAAGGGGCCCTTGGGCCACGTCAGGCTTCCTACCTGGTGCCTTCGATCTGGAGATTTCGTATCATGGGTTGCTCTACTACCCTCCCTAGACTACCCCCCTAGGTTATGCCGTGATTAAAGGTATTTACGGAAAATTTGGCGGCTTGATCAAGGTTAATTGAAGGGGAACCTAGGGGGCAGTGTAGGGGGGTAGTAGAGTGAATGTAGCTTCCATGAGCAGGGTGACCCAATACGAACTTAGGGGACGTGGATGAGGATGAGCGTTGGAAATCACCATATATGCATATGTGTACATACATATCGTTGAATGTGAGGGATGAGAGGTGAGGCTTCATGAGGGCGTCAAGAACATTCATGAACCTTTATCCCTAGACCCACCTGTATCAAGCGGGGCGAAATATAAGCCCGCAGAAAGGCTTTGATTTGGAAGCTCTCCTTCACAAATTGCAAGATCCGCATGACACTTTAAAACAACAAGACCTCGGGTCTAAATGTAGCCTTAAACCATACTTCTAAACTCTAAGCCCTGCACCCTGAGCCCCATTCTACAGCAAGTGGAGAGGCTGCCGTGCAATGGTAGCTGGATTTCAATTCCCTAAGTCCCTACATATCCTACACATAACCCCAGTTGCCATTTCTGGATTCTCCCTACTAACCCTACACAATTTTTGTTAACCCCAAATCCCAAAACAGCTTCCATCCACTTTTCCATGAGCAACCCCCCACCTTACACCCGAAGCCCAAGCCCCAAACCCCGAACACTACACCCTAAATCGTAACACCCTCAAGCCTCAGCTCTGAAGTCTAAACCCTGAACCTTAAACCCTAAACCGTAAAACCCTAAACCCAAAACACAAAACCCTAAACCCCAAACCCTAAACCTCAAACCTGAAACCCTGAACCCGGCTTCAGACGAAAGGCGGATCTCCTGTAACCTCTCCGGCTTGATCTGCAGAGCAAAGCACTTCCTCGGGGCCCAAGAACAATCCAGGCTTTAGGGTTTAGGGTTTAGGGTGAGGAGGGTCTAGGGTTTAGAGTTAGGAGGGTTTAGGGTTTCGGAGGATTTGGGGTTTAGGAAGGTTTAGGGGTTTAGGGTTTAGGATTTACTGGTTCTTAGTAGGGAATAAGGGAATCCCTATGCTAGGGTTTGGGCACTAGGATTTAGGTTTATAGGGAGTATAATATGTAGGGAGCATATTCCCTCATTCCCTCTTAAGATACAGTAAGCAATAGGCGCACATTCTGTGGCCATTCTGATATGAACTGACGTCTACATTCCGGAAAGGCTGGTTGTATAAGGGATTATATTACAAGGCTTAGGATACTAGGAGTTTAGACCATAGTTCATATGAATCAAGCGCCACAACCGCAGTGGTTGTAGTAGCGGTAAAAAAACAATGACCTGCACCCAATGGGAAGTCCCTGGGTCTAACTGAGCTAGGAGCTTCATACAGTTGAGGCGTAAGGTTGTTGACTTGTGGTTGAAGGCCCAGGTAGAGTGTAGAGTTGTGAGTTTGGAGTCTAGGGCTTGAATTGCGTAGCAATCTTCTTTAG